GAAGGGAGACGGCGAAGGGAGACGGCGAAGGGAGACGGCGAAGGGAGACGGCGAAGGGAGACGGCGAAACGGGAGGGCGGAGAGCAGCAGGAAAGGGGAGGGCTAGGGCGGAGAGCAGCAGGAAAGGAGATGGCGAGGAAGAAAATATTCCATTCCTATCCATTTTGCACCCCAAATACAAACTGTTCCGTTTATACCGCGTAATAGGTATCCTGCAGAAGCTTGGTTACTTCAACTAGTAAACAATACAAAATTAGAATAATACGGCGTCCATTCACAATATGTATCCTTCTATCACATTCCAAAAATTACGCTGAGCGATGCAGACCGCCATACTTGTATTTTCATGATCGTTACATCGGCTAGCACAGCAGAAAGTTTCGTCGTGACGAAAATCTAATGAATATCATCACACCGTATTTCTAAGTGTACATTTCATCTGCAGGATTGCCAACCAGAAAATGCACCCCGGGCAGCAAACGTTATAGCTGTGTCACAGACTTGGAGAGGTTTCAACGCTTTAGTGTAGACACTTGGGTTATTTGGAAACGCGCTTGCAACGAGCTCGCTGTAATCGCTGGGAATATAAGTCCAAAACTGCTTCGCCGCGCGGCGCTGCCAAACGCTCCGCCGGGCATGATGCCAGCAGACCAGTCCAGGGCGCCAGGGGGCATTCATTCTTAGCCGTGGAATATTAGGACTAAAAAACTAGACCCGCTAAAACTTATTTCAAAATCGTTTCATCACCAGGCATATGTACACTACTATTAATATTATCACAGCAGCCCATTTTCTTTAAGGAATATGGAATATCATCCACTCACTCTTGGACTCAGCAGGGATATGAATGGACATAATCTAATGCTTGGCCCTGGGCACGACAACGGTTCGCTGGCTATCCGTGGACCGTCGTCACAATTATTAGCAAGTCAGTCATCACAACACAGAAGAGGACACGTCCTCCCCCCCCCCAGCACATCAATAAATTTGTAAAAATTAGTTGAACTGGACCCCAGAATATTTAGTATTATTGAGAACAATAGTGGGATGCATTTTTTCATATATTTTTTCGTATTCTTGGCCTTTTTCATTGACACGCGATACGTTCAAAATAAAAGTGAACATGCTTCTTGACTTAGACTTTTTGATACGACTGTCTACCTTACAAGTAGCATTCAAAAAAAGCAGAGTTTCCAAACAATACTTGAAACATAACTGATAAGTTATTCCCTTGCGTATCCACTACCCACTATGGAAGTTGCTTGTGTTTTTTTCATTGATGATCTATGCTCACTTATATGAAATCAAATACTCGTATCGAGCATGGATGGGTTTTGAAAGTTTTCTGAGATGTGAATTATCACAGTTGGATCGAAAAACTTGTGGAAGAGAGTTTAGTACTCACATTATGTTCATAATATTTGGAACCAAATAACGTAAAGTGAAATTTGAACTGCACTGAATGGAGAATGCTTTGAATCGCATATATTCAATTGATTAGTGTTTCTGGGCGCGTTGATAATAGTCATTAGTCCCGTAAGTGTAGAGCGTGTTTTTATTAAAGGAGGTTGCAGAGTTCTTTCCTCGATAGCGAGATCGAGCGCCGATCTACAAGTCGGCTGGCGGGGTTTTCCCCAACCAGGTATGTTCAGCCAACCAGCAAGGCGCCGTCCCAGCCGGATAAGTTCTAAGCTTCCGACATACGAAGTGATAGTGTAGTGCAAGTAAGTGTGTCTGTAGGTAAGGGTGAGGACAGGACGAGGATGAAG